ATGACATGATAGCAACCTTCCAATATTTGGGGGGCTGCCACAAAGAAGAGGGGGGTTCAAGTTATTTTCCAAAGCACCAGAAGGCAGGAGAAGAAACAACGGATGGAAATTAATCCAGGAGAGATTCAACCTGGAACTAAGAAGAAATTTCCTGACAGAGGGAACGATTAGCCAGGGGAACTGCTTGCCACCAGAAGTGCGTGGCAAGAATGACAATCTGGGACACCCAACTTGCCGCAGGAGGCCCTGGGACAAGAGTTACTCTAATATCAAAGAAATGGAGGAACAGAATTGTTAAAGGATGCGAAAGGAGGGACAGAATGAAATTTGAAGGGCAAAAATTAAAAATATTTTTTAAATTTATTTTAAATAATTCAGTTAAACTGTTAAATTATCCTGCAACGAGCTGGCCGTGGTGAATTGGCTGTAGCAAGTTGTTCCATTCCCAAGAGACCCAAACTAGAACTAAGGAGAAATTTCCTGGGAGTGAGAACAATTAACCAGTGGAACTACCTGCCTCCAGAAGTTGTGGGTGCTCCTTCACTGGAGACTTTTAGGAAGAGATTGGACCGTCATTTGTCTGGAATGGAGAGGTCTCCAGACTTGACAACTTTAAGATTTGCAGACTTCAACTCTCAGAATTTCCAGAGATTTCCATGCTGACTGAGGAATTCTGGGAGTTGAAGTCCCCCGAGTCTTAAAGTGGCTGAGGAATTCTGGGAGTGAGTTGAAAATCCCCAGAGCGGGAGGTTGGACTAGATGACCTCCAAGGTCCCTTCCAGCTCTGATTATCCCTGTATTCCCGCTTTCCCCTGGCCTAGATGCAAAAGCGAGTGGCTAAAATCTTCGTCACCATGCACTGGTCTGTGGCCAGATACTCTCACAAGATGCTGCTGGAACTCCGGCGCCATAACTACGTCACCCCCACCAACTACCTGGAGCTGGTCTCCGGCTACAAGAAGTAAGGGGGGGGGATTTGGGTGGGCTCCGGACAGGTGGGAGGGTGGGAAACTCCCTCTTCCCAGGAGAAGCGTCCCACCTCTGGGGGACAGGAGAGTCAAAGGGCCGGCCCCCGGCCCCTGCCAGTCACGCGGTGGTCCCCGCGGCACGAACCTTCTCCTCTCCACCCTTTCGCAGGCTCCTGGCCGAGAAGCGGAAGGAGCTTTCCGAGCAAGCCAACAAGCTCCGCAACGGCCTCTTCAAAATCGATGAGACCCGGGAAAAAGTCGAGGTGATGACCCTGGAGCTCGAAGAGGCCCGGAGGAAGGTGGCCGAATTCCAGAAACAGTGCGAGGAGTACCTGGTGATCATCGTCCAGCAGAAACGGGAAGCGGACGAGCAGCAGAAGGTGAGCACCCGAGGTTGGCACCGCCCGTCTCCCTGCTGAGCCCACGACGTTGCGCCCTCACCCTCCCTCTCTCTCTCCGTCTCTCTGTCTCTCTGTCTCTCTCTCTCTCTCTCTGTCTCTCTCTCCCTCTCTCCCTCTCTCTCCCTCTCTCTCTGTCTCTCCCTCTCTCTCTC